CGCGGTCCCTGTGCTTTGCTAAGCTTGTTCTAAGTAGGTGCTTTAGACCACTGAGCCATCTCACCAGCCCCCCCTCCAGTATGTTCTAAGATTCTCAAGGTCTTTGCGTATATTCACACCTCTCAGCAGTCAGCAAAGTGATCTGAGACCCCCAGATATTGGCTGACTGCTTGAATGAATGAATGGTCCTTGCCGAGCCATGAAACTTTCTTACTCTGCAAATGTGTTAAGAGGAAGTAATAGGGAAAACAGTAAAATACTCTAAAATAATTATTCATCATATGAAATCTAACAGAAGAAAATTATTAGGTGAACTTTCTGAGCTGCCAACGTAAGAACTCATGAGTGAGTTTTAGGTATGACGAGACGAGGCCAAAGCTCATGACAAGGGACAGTTCAAATGTTTAAAAACAGATTTGCTGCATTATTGACACAGATGGAGAAAGCAGAAGCCTCACCTGGGTAGATCCCCAGCTGAAGGTCTTCCTGTAAATCAAACAAATGAGTGCATGTTAGGGAGGAAGCCCCCTTCTCAGGGACTCCAGGCCGTTCTTGCTCATGGATGTTCCTAACCCCAATGCCCATTGTAGGCAGCAGTGTGTGCCAGAGGACGCTCCAGAAACCAGTGACAGAGTCTTCATTTCACAAATGAGGAGGCCCACATCATTAAGGAGACTTTCCCACATGCGGTAAGTCCCAGTGCCAGGACTTGAGCCAAGTCACTGAACACTTGTTTTGGGTTTTGCAACCATGCCTTCCCAAACTCCTTTAGAGCAGGTGATGCTATGAATATGTTACACATGGGAGAAGTACCCAAAGGTGCTGGTAAAGCTTGGAATTTAAATAAAATCCTCATATTATCCTTTCTTGCTCTGTCTCCAATTGCTCAGTGGCAATCAGAAGACCGAGGCTAAGTATACAAATCAATCTGGAACTACCAGTTGTGATAGAGTCAGAGGCAGAATCATTGCGATTTGTAATAAGAGAATAACTGCAGGCTGTGGGAGCAGGTGAAACCTCCTAGAGAAAATGACATTTCAGCTGAAAAGTGAAAAGCAACGAGTAAAACATAAAAGGGCACCTAACAGTACTCTAAGGCAGTGATGGCCGAACCGTTTGGAGCTTTCAATGATCAGCACAGTCCACTGCGAAGCCACCACTACCCTAAGGTGAGTAAGACTTGATGGATTGACTTCAGAACTGGGAAATAGCCGGGATGAGCTCCTGATCACTTTTCCAGTGACTGAATGTTTTGAATAGTTATACTTTACACCAAAATGAAATCACAGAGGAGCAAAATGTCAGCTGAACCCGAACTGATAAAACATGAAAAACAAAGAATTGTACTAAAATGTTTCACTACTGTAGTCAAAGTCTGGGAGAGGAAGCAGAGAGTAGAGCCATGGGTAAGGCGACAAAAAGCATGTATTTATCCTTTACAAGATACACAGCGCAGTTTATAGCAGCACAATTTGTGATAGCCAAATCTTGGAAACAACCAAGATGCCCATCACCTGAGGAATGGTTGAGAAAGATGTGGTATTTTTAC